GGAGGTCTAGGTAAGAACTGAGTCAGGAGAAGAATTAGCAGGGGCAACTGGGCAAGCACGTCCTTATAAGGGACTCTGGATCTCACCTTGAGCCAGACAGGAAATTATCCAAATTCTGCACCAGGAGGCATGATCCAATTTATGTTTAACCCATGCCTTGACTGAATGTGAGTTCACTGCATGACCTGAAGGAAGAAAGCCTTTGCTCCCTCCCTTCCTCAACCCTTCCCTTCTCACCTCTCTCCCTACTCCCTCTGTTTCTCCCCTCTCCCTTCCCACTTCCCTCTCTTCCAGTTTCCTTATGTTTCCTTCCCTCCCTCTTCTTCCTCCCTCACTTAGCCTTTTCTTTCCTCCCTTCTCATCTGCCTCCTCCCCCTTTCCTGCCCCTCCCCTCTCCTCCTCTCTCACGGTTTTACGGGCACGTTACAAAGTGTGCAGTGACATGTAACTGCAGTCATTTAGGCAACAGGCAATGGTGATTTAGACCTAGGTAGTTGGAGCGATAAGAAATTATATTCTGCATTTATGTTGAAGGAAGAGCGAGTGAAAACTGGTGAAAGATCAGATGTGGGGTTGAGGCTGGGGCACTCAAAGGCTGGTCTAGGATGACTCCCCCATTTGCTAAACTGAGCTCATGGAGGGATGAAGTCAGCATCGTCTAAGATGACGAAGAATGTGCAAAGAGTGGGTTTGGAGAGAGAGGAAAAAAGACCATGACTGTAGTGGGAAGATGTGACATTCAACATGCCTGTCACACAGCAGGAGCAGAGGTTGAATGTGCAAGGCTGGAGTGGAAACAACAGGATGTTTACCTTATAGTTTTATTGATTTGTAATTGATAGACAGCAAACATATATACTAAAAAGTATATGCTGACCGATTTGGTAAGTTTTAGTCTATTTATATCCACCATGCATGTTCCTGCTCTGTATGTAGTCTTTCCACAGTCCTGTTCCACTGGATCTTCCTGCCTCAGGCAGCTACTGATCTGTTTCTGTCATTATAGACAGTGTGTACTTTTTTGGAGTTTCATACACAGGCATCTACACAGCATGGATCTTGTGTTTTCTGACGTTTTCTCACTCTCGTCCTTGTTTTGAAGTTTATGAGTTTCCTCACCTGAAGTAGTACTCTGCTTTCCTACCTTACTGCTAGGCAGACACTCACGCACGGCAATGTCTTTTGTCTTCTATCTGTGGGTAAGCATTTAGGTTGCTTCCTATTTGAGACTATTAAAAATAGAGTTGCCTGGGGCTGGAGAGACAACTCAGCAGTTAGGAACCCAGACTGTTCCTTCAAGGACCTCAGTTTGGTTCCTAGCACCCAAGCTGACTGTCTCAGAACCACCTATAACTCCATCTCCAAAGGAATCTGATGTCTGTGGCCCCGAGCATCTGCACACGCAAGACCACATATACGTGTGCATATACACACACAAAATAAAATTTAAAAAATTTTAAAGCTGTGTGAACATTCTTGTCTTTTGGACTTGATATCTTCAGGTAGACTTAGGTGCCTTCTCTTGGGTGAGCATCCCAGAGTGCATGACTGGGTCATGTGGTAAAGTATTTTAGATATTCAAGAAACTGCTAAATGATTTTCAGAGGGACCTATCATTCTACATTTGGGTTAGCAGCAGAAGCCTTCACCTACTGTTTGATCTTGTCAGGCTTTTAAGTTCTGTGCACTTACATAGGACTTTCTTGGTAAGTTATAGCTTCCCTGTTTAGTCCACTTTCCATAAGAAAGGACATGTTGAGCATCGGCTGCTTCGTGGTGCACACACAGCTAAATGCTGCATGTGGCAGCTCTGTTAAAACAGACTAAATCTATGATGTGGTCCCACAGGTAGTAATGAGTTAGAATCACACCACTGTAGCCAGCCTAACATAGTGCGATGTATTACTGGCCTGTTTGTGATTCTCCTGGTGTAACCGAACCCAATACAATTGAATATCACACATATTTAATAACGAGGCTAAACTATTAGGTTGATTTAAGTAAAAAGTAGATTTTTAAATTTTATTATATATTCTTTCTGTTACGTGCTGTAAAGCAGTCTGCTGTGTTATACCAGTCGCAGCTTCCCGGGTTTCGTGTTTACCAAATCACTGCGGTGTATCATTCTCTCTGGTGTTTGATTTAATCTTGGGAAGTTCTGTTTATCATGGCGTGAGTGAGCTAGGCTGAACTATGAATATTTATACCCTTTAGCCCAGGAATGCAGTAGGCCGCCTAAGTTTGTGCAAGTACACGCTATGGTGTTTGTCCAATGATGCAATAGTCTAACAACCCATTTTCCAGACTGTTTCCTTGTTGCTAAGCAACACAACAATGTCCATTTACTTACTTATTTGTTTATTTGTTTTTGAGACTAGGTCTCAGGAAGCCCAGGCTAACCAATAACTTACTATGTGCCTGAGGATGACCTTGAAGACTCTCCTATTCTCTTTACCTGCAGTGGGTTGGGGGGGGGGGAGTCCCTTCAGGTGTCTCTCAGGGAATCGAACCCCCATGAAGAGGTAAGAATGAAAACCAGGCGCAGGCTGACTTCATCAACCTGGATCAGACTTTGGGGAGTCTAATTTCAAGTGATTCAGTGTCAGCATATTTAAGCAGAGTATACAGCTTGGAAAAAGGTTTCCAGGCAACATTGGTTCAATCAGTCCAATTGCAGGTTCACAATAAGCCTTAAGGTATGTCCTTATAGAAATTCCTTTATAAAGTGCCTGTGACTGTGAGGGTGAGTCTATAACTTAAAAGTCCTAGAATTTGGGCTGGGGAAATAGCTTAGTGGTTAAGGACACTTGCTGTTCTTCAAGAGGACCCAGGTTCAATTCCCAGCACCCATATGGCAGCTCACAACTATCTGTAACTCACCTTCCAAGGCATCCAACACTCTCACACAGGCAATTATAGAGACAAAATACTATTGCACATGAAATAAAAATAAAGAAACTAAAGAAAAAGCCTAGAATCTAATGTAGTCTCTGACCTCGAGTCTTGGGAAGGAAGAGTCTGGGATAATCATTCTGGGGAGTTTGGGTGAGGTCTGCCTCTATAGCAAAAGGTGGGGGGAGGTCTGCCTCCACAAACAGCAAAAGGTCACCAGGTCATTAACAAAATCCACTCTCAGCTTTCTGGATGGAATGCAGGCGTTTGATTTTTATCTCCTCCACTGAGGCTATACTCCCCTGCCTGATTAACATTCCTGGTTCTCTTATGCCTCTCTGTGAGTACAAGGACCTTGGTGTCCCTATCTCTTACCAATGCTGGGATGTCATGAGGGTACCAGCACACTCCACTTGGTTGTGTGCACACATTCAGCTTGGTTGTGTGCACTTGTTTGTGTATTCTTTTAACAGCATTAGAAGTTGATGTTGATCACAAATGCAATCTAGGGGTGTGTAAACACACAGTATCTTTTCTCTCCCCATTCCCATGCCCCCTTACACAGAAAAAAAAATGTCTCTCCACGGCCTCTTTAGCCACAATTGCCCCTCTTATTGTTTTAAACAGACTGCAGCTTGGTCTTCTTTGAACTGCAATATGTCTACTAAAGAGTCCCAGGAAAGAAATCCTACCAATATTCCCGGTGGTCTCCAAGCAGTCAGTTAACTGGCTGGGAGATGACTGGCAGGGGTCTTCAGCCAATTGAGGGCTGCTGGAAGATATGCAGAGACAAACCCTCTCCTCTCCGCAAGCTACCAGCCCCTTCATTAAAGCCGAGAACACCTTGCATCGCAGCTGACCCACTTGTAGCTACCGGTCCATTTCTTCCTGCCAGGATGGTCCCTGTTTAGATACCAGTGGCAGAGTACCATACACCTTCTGCCTCCAACTTGAACCACATTACAGTCAATCATGGAAAACAGACCTCCCCAAACCTCGATGCTACCTTCCAACAGTGGAATTCTGGGTTTGACAGCTGTCAAATCTGCTCTGGGGTTTACTCCAGCTGTAGAATTCTGAAAACTTTTGATGTCCTTGGTAAAACTCTTATCACGGTCACATCCATAATTTGCCAGGAACAAGACTCTCTCTGGAATTCCTCCTTCTTGTCTAGTGGCCCTCTTCCTAATTCCTTGAAGTACAAGGCTCTTTCCTCCCTCCCCCCATCCCCTCCCTCCCCTCCCTTTTATCTTAGTGTCAGCAGGTTACACTTCCAAGTCAACACAAAGAAAGAATTTCAGTATTAATTGTATTGTGCCAATTTAGTTATATGTTATGATGGGTGAGTTAAGGTTTATGTTTTTCCAAACTTAACGCACCTTGAAACTCATTCTGCTTTACATGCATTTAAATTTTCAAAAATGTGGTTTTCGACAGCAAATCATAAAATTTACCATTAAAAAAATGTTTACCATTTTAACCACCTTTAAGTGTACCAAAAAAGTGTTGTTGCTGTCGTCATCCCAGGCTGCTACTTGTTTGGGTCTCTGACATCTCATTAACTGCAAGCCATTAGAGAGGCTAAAAAGGTCCTTGTCACACATTATCCCAAGATACTAAAGACACACGACTCAGTCTCCTTTAGGGATTTGCCGTGGACTCATAGATATTTTAAAAACGAACCAGTTTCTCTTTCTTTTCGAGCAACGCGAGACGTTGCAATGATAGAAAAACTGCAGCTAGCATGTGTGTGACTGCAGGCAGTGACCACAGACAAGAATCCTCACTACACCACTGGGCAGAGACTTCTGCGAGTCCCTTCTAGCTTTCTGGACCTGCGGTTTCTGACTGGAAGGATGAATAGTACTATTACAGGGTCCATGCAAAGATTTGCATGAAATAGGCTTCACATGGTGCCAAAGACAGTGAAGGCACTGGGCAACCCGGAGCTGGTGTTGTGACTACCAACTGAAGAGCAGTGAGACGGATTGTGTTTAGGTATCTGAGCAGGCAGGCACCTTTGCTCAGTCTCCACCGAGAGGCGCAAGGGAGGGGCAGGACTACCCGAAGCCCCGCCCCTATAATCGGCGTTCAGTTGTCTAGGCAACGCGCTGCAGGGTCGCGGCCGAAGTGAAGCCGGATGTCTTACTGAAGGCTCTTGAAGCACCACAGGCTGAAAGATGTCTGAGGAAGAGTCGGACGGCACGTTCACTGACTCCCAGGGGGAGGAGGAAGGCGAGCTGCCAGTCATCCAACTGTGCGGGCTGGTAGAGGAGCTCAGGTACCGCCCGCCACCATGGACCTCTGCGGTTTCGGTTGTAGCTTACAGACCACTCAACGTCTATGCGGAGCCCCGCAGGGACACATCGCATTATAATGGAGAAAGAATTTGTGTTTGTCTGGTTAGCCTTGGTGCTTGCTTGCTCCTGAACTGACAAGCCATTGATGGAGCCTGGGCAGGGTGGAGGGGCAAGGGGGCCGGTGGCCTTGCAAAGATCAGACAGGATTTAGTGACGCTAGACCTTTCTTCAGCTTGGTGTCGTCCTGGTGCTGGCAAGCCGGCTTCCCGGTCTGCATCAGGTGACTTCCTAAGCCCTTTTCCAAAGTTAGTACTAAGATAAACATTAATATGGCGGCTGAGTGAAAACTAAGCTATTGAAATGATCTGATTGCGGCTTTGTGGGCTGAGAAAGGATTTAAGCGTGGAGATGGACTGAGATGAATGATTGGCCCAGTGCTTTGTATTCTCCACAGTCTGTTTTCCATCTTCCACAGCAAGTTATCTGGATATGAAGATTCTGTACTATAGTTGAGGTTCAGTGTACAATGTATTGATATTACACAGTATCGTGTTTCCAGTGACCGGAAGAGGTGTTGGTTCCATATATCTGTAAATAGTTTATATCAGAATGGAGGGATTATTACTAATTACCATTTTGAGTGTCTGTCATATGCCACAGCTTTATATGTGAAACAGCCATCCTAAGAGGTACACGCTTTCTGAAGTTTCCTTGTGAGTGTCTATAACTGCCAGTCTTGTATATCAGACAGCCACCTTAGGAGATAAACACCGTCTGAAGTTTTTTTCCTTAAGGTCTTGCAGTAGAGATTCAGACTCGGGCCCGTGGAAGGCTCCACTGAGAATACAATATGTGTTGAAAAGACATCATGACTTTCCTGTTTTCCATTTGTCTTCCATACTAATCTCAAAATTTAGGAATTAGTTTAACAGTGCGTGTAGGCCTCCATGTCACCCTCTTTTCTGCATATCTATGTGAGTATGTGTATGCAGATACAGTGGGAAAGTTTTGCGTCTGGAGATGTAGCTTTAGCCCCTGTCTAATAGTCATAGGGTTATGGGTTCAATCCAAGCACTCCACGCCCCCCCGACACACACATTAAAGTTGGGCATGTTGGCTCACACCTTTAGTTCCAGCACCAGTGAGGTAGGTGGAGTTCTGTGAATTCAAGGTCAGCCTCGATATACATAGCACAAGCTCTAGGCTAGCCGGGGCTATGCAGTGATACCCTGTATCTTAGTTACTTTTCTATTGCTGTGACAAAATACTATGATCAAAGCAACTTAAGGAAGAACGCATTTAATGTAGGGGCTTACTGCTCCAGAGAGTTAGAATTCATGATGATCATGGTGGGGAACACGGCAGCAGACAGGCAGACATGGCGCTGGAGCAGTAGCTGAGAGCATTCACCTGATACACAAGCACAAGGCAGACAGCAAGTGACTGAATGGCCTAGGCCTCCGAAACCTCAAAGCCCACTCCCAGTGATACTTCTCTTCCAACAGCTTCACACCTCCCAATCCTTCCCAAACAGTGTCACACCTCCCAATCCTTCCCAAACAGTGTCACACCTCCCAATCTTTCCCAAACAGTGTCACACCTCCCAATCCTTCCCAAACAGTGTCACACCTCCCAATCCTTCCCAAACAGTGTCACACCTCCCAATCCTTCCCAAACAGTTCCACTAGCTGGAGACTAATCATTCAAATATGTAACCCTAAGGGTGTGTGTGTGTCATCTCATTCAAACCACCATGCCCTGTCTCTAAACAAAAAAAAAAAAACAAAACAATGAAAGGCAAGTTTTATGTATGAGAAGTAGTTATGAAGGTCATAACCTTGGCATACACAAGACAAGCTAGATATGTTATCTCTGGTTGTTTAAAAACCACTGTTCAAATACTTCCTCTGTCTATGATAAATGTCCAATGGAATTTCTAATTTAGAGGCTAGTGGTAAAAGAATAGTGACACACAAGCCAAAGGGAGTATCTAGAGATGATCAGTGGGTATAGATATAGCTTCAAGAGTGTGGCCATTCAGAAGAACTTTTACAAATGAGTTAGAGGACATCTGAAGATGACAGCAGCAACTGTCATCAATAGGACACCAGCACTCTGAATCTTGTGGCTTCTTAGACTCAATAGCCTAGAGATCTAAGATACTCTAGCAAAACTATGTGGCCCAAAGCTGACCTCAGGCCACAGAACCCCTCACCACTACCCTTAAAGAAAAGTGATGTCATCCTACCTGTTGTATAGGTGAAGAAAGGAAGGCACCAGGAAGTTGCATGTCTTACAGAAGGCCATGAGTAGCCAATGATGTACTAAATACTGATTGTTTGGGTGTGCTATTCACAGAATTCACTTATGTGCCCTGTATCTTGCAGCTATGGAAACTCTGCTCTCAAAACAGAAACAGAGATGTTCGAGAAATATTACTCTCGACTGGAACCCAGGGACCACCGAATGCCACGGTTATCAGATATTAAAATATCAGCAGCAGAATTTTCACAGGTATACAATGAAAGGTGAACAGGACTTCATCCTGTTTGCTTTCATAAATGCAAATAATGTTTGTGTATCTGCCTTTGGCACGTCTTCTTGGATCAAATGGCCATGAGACTTCCTCTCTTCTGTTTTCTGATTATTTCTTCCCTTCTAGTTTTTTTCAAGTGGAGAATCCTATAAAGTTAGTTGCTGACTCTTTCAGAATACCTTAATTTATCCAAATGAATTCCTTGAAGGCTAGTATGGTGGCCCAAACCTGTAATCCCAGCACTTGGGAGGCCAAGGAAGGAAGGCCACAGGGTTTGAGGTTAGCCTGGGCTACATAATAAGACTGTCTCAAACAAAAACCCAAGTACCAGAAGTATAAGCTCAGGAGTAGAATCTTTACTTGTGGGCTGGAGAGATGGCTCAGTGGCTAAGAGCACTGACTGCTCTTCCAAAGGTCCTGAGTTCAATTTCCAGCAAACACATGGAGGCTCACAACCATCTGCAATGTGGTCTGACACCCTCTTCTGGTGTGTCTGAAGATAGCTATAGTGTACTCACATAAAATAAATAAATAAATCTTTAAAAAAAATCTTTACTTGTTAGACACTGGGCTCTGGGTTCAAACCCTTTCACTGAAAAAAGAAATTCCCTGAAATTCCCTCAACTGGGGAATCAGTTTACAAGGTCTGTCGAAACCAGACATGGATGCACATGCCTTTAATCCCAGAACTCAGGGAGTAGAGGCAAGAAAAGCGCTGTGAGTTTTATGTAGCCAGCCTGGCCTACATAGTGAGTTCCAGGCCAGCCAGGGATATACACAGAGAGACAGACCCTGTCTCAGAACACCTTCTATGATCACTGCCATTAAGTGCTTAGAACATTCATGGGTTTTGCCTGTTTTGCTAAACTCGGTGGCTGGGACACATTGCTCTTCTGTGTTCATCTGAAAGCACTGAACTCTGGGCTTTCCATGGCCTATAGCTGGGGTATTTCTAAAATTCCTTCCCAGGGGAGATGTAAATCATAACTATCCTGTCCTTTTAAGGTCCCAACACGAACCAAAGTACCCTTGCCCAGCTCTCCCCAGTTTATTGCCCCTTCTGGAGACTTCATACAATTAGAGCACAATTGCCTACAGGTGCCTGGGAGGCGTGGCCAAGACCCTCCCTGCTCCTGATGAGGGGATGCCAAGAGTTCACAGGTCTGATTGTGCTGGACTCTCAAAGGTAGATAGAGCTGTTCTCTTGATGGCAATGGTTTGGGCTAGAAGATAGTGCCTTACAACTCTGCCCCACAAGATTTCTACCCTCAATGCATCAGATATATTTGAACTCACTGCCAAACATAAGCCTTGTGGTATTAGGTGCAGGGCCTTGGGATGACTTGGGAAATGTCAATTCTGGCCTAATGTCCAACATCCTTTCCTCTCCCAGGCTCGGCCCAAGGCAACTTCTTGTAGGTCTAAGAGCTCATTTTGACGACTACCCAAGGTTGCTTTATCACCAAATCCCCCTTTACCCTGACTTGCTTTTGCTTGGGTTACAGCTACGATCTAGGCGTAAATCCAAGACCCGTGGAGGTCTGGATCGTACGGCAGGCCTCACTGTAGAGCAAAAGCTCGATCTTGTACAGAAGGAGCTGGAAGACACAAGAGATGAAATCCGGCACATGAGGGCTAATGCAGAACGGGACCTGCAGCATCATGAGGTATCTTCTTCCCTCTGGGTCCTGTCACTCCGCCTGTGGGTGTCTACCTCACTGCCTGTCCTTGGGAAGAAACCCAAGGAAGATAAGGCAAATGAAGGACTTACCTTTACAGAACTTACCAATAGCTATGTGTGTATATAACAGTCTTTAAATTTGTTTGATATAAAATATCAAAAATGTTTGACATATCATCACCAACCCCTATGTGCTCAACACCCAGGTATGACCTCATTGCCATAAGACCACTCTGGTTCTCCTGTCCTCACTGGGATGTTAGGAAGTGGAGTCGAGGCATATTGTCTACTTTAAGTATTTTATCCTCTGTTTCTAAGATATGATGTGATAAGATACGATACCCAACAGGTGAGGTGGAAGTCACAGAAGGACATAGGAACAAGCTTGACAAACTCTTATATTGAGAAGTCTGGTTTGGAAATCAGGTCAAGTAGAGTAATGGGACCTGAGAACTAGGCAGAGGGTTTTGTAAACCATTCATGTCTTAGAAAGCTGGATCCTACTGAGGATAATTTAGCAGAAAAACAATGAGTTAAAAGCAGCGTGTAAGGGGCCTGGTGCTCCCACGTGGGAAGACTAGAGTCTAAGGAGATCCAGTGAAGATGGTATTTCTTGTTGATAAATGAGGAAAGACTGGCCAAAACAGATTTACTGTGTGATCCAGATACCTTCTAACTTTATTCTGTAAAGGAGTTTGTGTGTGTGTGTGTGTGTGTGTGTGTGTGCTTCAATCTTCTATGCAATCCATATTTGTCATAGAATATTTTATTTTTTAAAAGATTTATTTATTTATTTATTTATTTATTTATTGGTTTTTTTGAGACAGGGTTTCTCTGTGTAGCCCTGGCTGTCCTGGAACTCACTCTGTAGACCAGGCTGGCCTCGAATTCAGAGGCCACCTGCCTCTGCCTCCCAAGTGCTGGGATTAAAGGCGTGTGCCACCACTGCTGGGCTAAGATTTATTTATTCTTATTTTATAAGCATCAATGTGTCTGCCTGCATGTATGTCTGTGTATCGTATGCACGCCTGGTGCCCATGGAGGCCAGACGTCAGGATCTCTAGGACTAGAGTTACAGAGAGTTGTGAGACGACGCGTGGATGCTGGGAACGTAAGGGGTTTCCCTGCAGGAGCTGCCAGTGCTCTTGGGTACCATGCCAGCTCTCCAGCCCCATTACAGAACATTTTTAAAATATGGATAAGCTAAAGGAGCATTTGAAAACAACAGGGCTGCCATCTTAGCAGAAGTCATTACTATTCACGCTTGGATCTGTCTCCCTCTAGAGTTCAGATAGCTCTCTCTACATAGAAGCCTTTTCTCTCATGATGTACACCTGTTGCTTAACGTCTGTGTCAATATACGGCTCTCTCTTATATCGCTCCAAGTTATCCTGTGGAGTCCCAAAACCTTGGATAGCGACAAATCCTAATCTATATTTTCCTCTACATACATGTGATAAAGTTTAACTTATACACTGGGCATAGCACATGATTTAAAAATAACCAATATAGAATAGAACAGTTTTAACAATGAACATTAATTAAATGTCAGCATTTCTTTTGCATTTGGGGGACTTCATCAAATAAAATAAGGGTTGCTTGAACTCCCACACTGACATCTGCCCCCTCCCCACAGTCAATGGATAACCCAAGTGACTGCTAATTCACTAATGGGAGGGAAGCATATATAACAGGATACATTGGATAAAAGATGACGTGTGTCCCCAGTGGTGGGACGGAATGGAAATCTTACCGTGATGTTTAGAATGACGTGCAAATTAAAACCTGAATTAGTGGTTTCTTACATTTTCTGCTTACTTACTTACTATGGCTGCTCTACAGACACTGAAAGCGCACATAAAGAAGGACTTCTGTGCGTATAGGTTGATTTGCAGTATCTGTTCTCTGAGCTATACAGCATATAAGAGTGCTTGATCACCCACACACACACACACACACACACACACTAATTTATCATCTCTCTAGATTTAAGTGGGACTCCTGCTTTGTGTTGTATTCGTTGGGGTTTTGGTGGTATTGTGTTATTTTGAAACAGATCTCATTTTGTATTTGTAGCCCAGGCTAGCCTTAAACTCACAGCAGTCCACCTGCCTCAACCCGAACTCCCAGGTGCTTGGATTACAGGCATACACAACCACACCCAGATTTTCCCTGTATTTTATATGGCTTGACCTTTAATGGATAAAGTATACTCCCAACACGGAAATAGTGACAGATACAACATCTTCTTTTCGTTGGTTGTCAGCTTCTAACTTCCAAGGCATGTTTCTTTTGTTTGTTTGTTTGTTTGTTTGTTTGTTTGTTTTGAGACAGGGTTTCTCTGTGTAACCCCATCTGTCCTGGAACTCACTCTGTAGATCAGGCTGGCTTCAAACTCAGAGGTCTGTCTGTCTCCAGAATTCTGGGATTAAAGGCCTGTGCCCAGTGTGCATGTTTTTGTTTTTTAAAATACTAGTTGTCTTTAATCAAGTTTGTACCTAGAGATATCTTTCTAAGCCTAAGAAGAAGCATCTACCTTGAGGCAGAAGCCAGTGGGACATAGGTATCCTTAGAGGATGTGCCGTTGCGGCATTCTGGAAAGTCTCTCTTGTGCTGACCCAGGCTATCATCGAGGAAGCTGACATTCGGTGGAATGAAGTTCAGAGAGCGGTGCATGAATTTGAAAAAGACATCCTGAAAACCATATCCAAGAAGAAAGGGAGCATTCTGGCCACTCAGAAAGTGATGAAGTACATCGAGGATATGAACCGTCGCAGGGTGAGTTGCTGGCACTTAAACGATCAATTAAGCACTCAGGAGACGGTCAGAGGCAGGTGGATCGCTGTGAGTTCCAGGACAGCCTGATCTACTTATTGATAATTTATTGATACTTATTTACAGGCCAAGGCTATGTAAAGAGACCTTGTCTCAAAGGAGGGGGGGGGGAAATGAATGAATTCTTAAGACAATGATGCAGAAACAACCCATGTGCCTCAGCTTCCCTCCTGTTGCTCTGCTGCTGCTGTTACGGGGTGTCTCCCAACAAGACAGCAATGCCTGTGGCTCAGTAAAGGGCCCAGAGATAATCATTCTGGAGACGCTTTCAGGGAACAACCTCTGCTTTATTGCACTTACGTAGTGGATGCCTGTTTACTGTGATTGGTTAGCATATTACCTTGGATTGGATACCTCACTCATACCACCAGGATCTCTATGCAGAAGAAGCACATTGAAGGAGGCTTGGAGAGTGCAGACTTGTCCACAGGCCAGCTACAGACTACTTCAGCAACTTCAGAATTCAGTGTTCTGGCTTCTGAGGCATAGTGTGCCATGCTTCTTATTTAGAAGCAGTGTGCCAAATACACCGGCTGCCAGGCCATGCCTGCATTTTCTCCGACACTCCACCATCATACTTCCCACATATGTAAAGTATTTTTTAATCTCCAAATGTGCGTTTAAACTTTTTTTAGAAAGTTTATATGTATGGCTTTTTGTTGTTGTTCCTGTTTGTTTTGGGGTTTGCCTATGTACATGTTTATACACCATGCATAAACATACGTGGTGCTTGTGTAGGCAAAAAGAGAATGCCAGATCTCCTGAAACTGGACTTATGAATGGTTGAAAGATTCCATATGGGTGTTGGGAATCAACCCCAGGTCCTCTAGAGAAGCAACCAGTTCTTTTTAAGTGCTGGGCCATCTCTCCAACCCCCAAAAGGTGTGTTTTAAATGCATGTTATTAAAGTAAAAACAAAAAGGAAAACAAACAAACAAGCAAACAAACCAAAACAAACCCGAGAAACCAGGCAGGATGATTATTAGTAGCACCAGATTGGTTTCTTCTTGTTTTGTTATCTTGAAACAAGAAGATCTGTGTGTCTCTTTGGGGAACTAGTCCGGTTACTGTACAGCCTGTAAAGGCCACTCTCTTTTCATCTCCTTCCTTCATGGACCCAGACTGGCATGAAAAAAGAAGGGGAATTGAGTGAGAACATGCTTTCAGTTGTAGAGATTTTGTCGCATGTTAGCATGCTGACCTGTTGAACAGGGTTATTAATCATGACACACTATGAATGATAAAACATGTGTAGCCATCTTACCATTCAATCAAAAGGCCTAAGAATCCCAAGACTGTATTGTCAGTAAAGGGACCTGCAGTAGCACCACACCCAATGCCAAGAGCAGAAGCGCTGTAGCCCTGGCACAGAGCCCACCCAGTTTCCTCTGCGCCTTGGCTTCCAGTGAAATGCCATCCCAATACCAGTTGGGGCAGAATTAAGATGGCTGGAAAGAAATGACTGAATGTCACTGATCCAGTTCTGGTTTGTAGTTTCAGATGTACTATTCGAGCAACAGGGGAATAGACAAGTAATTGATTAAAATGTGTGTGTATTTTTTCCTTAGGATAGTATGAAGGATAAATTGTGTTTGAAAAATGTTTCTCTCAAAGTTCAAAGGAAAAAGATGCTTTTACAATTGAGGCAGGTATGTGGTTCTTTTCTTTCTTTTTAAAAAGGTAACCTAAGTGTCTTAGTCAGGGTTTTATTGCTGTGAAGAGACTCCATGACCACAGCAACTCTTATAAAAGAAGGCATTTAAGGTTGGCTTACAGTTTCAGAAATTTAGTCCATTATTGTCACAGAGGGAAGCATGGCAGGGTGCAGGCAGACATGGTACTGGAGAAGGAGCTGAGAGTTCTACTTCTAGACCTGAAGGCAGAAGGAGACTGTCCCATTGGATGTGGCTTGAGCAATCTGAAACCTCAAAGCCTGCCTCCACAGTGACACACTTTCTCCAACAAGGCCATGCCTTCTTAGTGCTAGTTTCTATGGGCCAAGAATTCAAACACATAAGTCTATGAAGACTGTTTCTGTTCAAACCACCACACTCAGTAATATCCCTCCCCATCTTCCCACCTACTCCTGACAATTATTCCTGTCCTAGACACTGGAATCTTTGAACACGGTAGAAGAACTTAGCAGTTACTAATTTATGGGTCTCGAGATGGGGAAATGTTCTACTTTGATTTCTGCTGTCATGACATACCTTGAGGAAAAGCAACCTGGGGTATATTTTCAGCTCACAGTTCCAGGTTATGGTCCAACATCATGAGGGATTCAAGGTGGCAGAGACTTCAAGCAGCTGGTCACATCACATCCACATTTCTGCACTCTTAATACAGTTCAGGACCCCTTGCCTAGGGGATGATGCTACCCATAGTGGGCTGGGTCTTCCCACATCAATTAGTCTAATTAAGACTTCCCCACAGGCCAGACCAATGTAGACAAACCCTTGTTGAGACACTCTTCCTAGGTGATCCTAGGGTTGTACCAAGTGGACAATTAAAGCTAACCCACACAGGAGATGATGTTGGATTACTCAGCTGTACCCACCATCACTTCTCTCTTTATGAGAGAAAGGGAAAGGGGTGAGAGGAAATCTAATAAGCAGGGGTCAAAGTGATGATAACTGTGATATAGGAAGGGCCCACAAGCCAAGGAATACAGGCAGTTTCCAGAAGCTGGCAAGAACAAGGCCATGTTCTTCCTAAAGCCTCCAGAGGGATAGAGTACTGGTAACATTATGACTTTGGAGTCAAACCCATCAGACCTTCAGCCTCCACACTGGGAAAGTAATCCACCTCTAGGCGGTTAAGGCACTGGGTTTATAGCAGTTTGTTGTAGCGACCAGAAGAAACCAACATGGCTTCTGGGCAGGCAAATTTGAGACTTTCTGTAAACACAATTGGCTTGAATTTGAGATTCTTATGACACACGTGTGGCTTTTTGAGGGATGTGGCCGGGTGGCATCACTAAAGTGTGTGGTGGTAAGTGTTTCAACAACTGACTTCAAGGACTCCCAATTAAAGGCAAGAGGATTGATGTGGCCCAGGGATTCTGAAATATGGTCTAATGTCTGTCACTTTCTTGCCCAAAGTTTTTTTTATCACTATATCAATGTGGGGACTGATGACATGTGCATCAGAGGTAGCTATGAACCCATGGGACTGAGAAGGACAACGTTCATGCCAGGCAACTATTGCTTGGTTACCTCTAGATCCAAAATGACCTGGACAAGCCGGAGCAGCCCTAAGGAGAAATTCAAGACTCCCAAAATACCTGCACAGGCACAGGCTTAGAGGAAGAGTCTATAACAGTCAGTTCTGCGGGAGTCCGGGCTGTCCTAGAAACACAATTCAGACCAAGGAGGGACTGGCTCTGCTCTGCCCTTCCCCAGGCGGCCCCACCAATGTGAACTCCACACTTGAAAGTAGCAGACAGTGTGGTGAGGGCAAGAGGAGACTGAATGACTATTCGTGCTTAGGGCTACTGTGGAAAGGAGGAGGGACTTGAAGGGGGGGCTCTAGAAAAGAAATGCTGTCCAGGGGTGAGCTCCTGGTCTCCAGGGTTTCATGAAGGCTCAGGCATCGTGACAAGGGGCTTGAAGTGAGGACTATGTGGATGTCTTTTAACATCTATGCCATTGCTGCTCAGAGATGACAGGGATGTGAGCCCTATCCCTAAGACTACAGGCTAATGGGGTGTAGTATCCTGAGAAGAGGGTAGGTAGGCTCAACTCCGTATAAAGGTAACAGAGATATGAGGGCCTAGAACTATGCTGTCAGAGGCTCAGTAGAGGCCAGGGTTACCCTGGTCGCAGAAAACAGACGACGTAGTGTTGCTGGGTGAATGCAATCTGGGTTTAAGGAGATTGTAGCAATTGGAGGAAGCAGCAACCCCAGGGCTTTATGCGTCTCAGTAAACTTGTAGAGATAGGAGTGACTGCAGCCCCAAAGCTGGCTCCTGCACCCACAAACAAGAAGCCATGAGCCTGGACAGGAAGCAGCACAGTTTAGAGAGGGACCCCTTTTACTAACAAACCTACAAAAATGTAGATTCGAAGAAGGGGCAATTACGGGCAGTCCTTTGTGGGTTTCCAGGTTTAAAGTTGAATTTATTTGTTTGCTTTTGAGGCAAAGTCTTGCCACATAGCCCACTCTGGTTTCAATCCCAAAGTCCCCCTGCCTCAACCTTCCAAGAGCTGGGATTACAGGGTTATTCCACCAAACCCAGATTAAAAATCACCTTCCAATGGCCTGTTTTTAGACTGCCTCTATAGCTTTGTTGAAGAACCGCTTCCCCTGTGGGCGTTCTCCCTCGGCCTGGCTCTTGAGCTTCTGTGTGATCTTGTTTTATCTCTTTTGCACTGTACTGTTGAATCGCTGTCTTTGGCTCTTCTGTGATGCCTTGGATGTGTTTCTTGAGACCCAGAGGCATTGTGTTAACTGAATACCCAGCCCTAGTGCACACAGACATGCGCCATGCCGGTGCCCAGGACAGCTTCACAGAATGGTGTCAGATCTCAGCTATTTCGCCAGATTGCAAGAGGGAGCTTAAGTTTACCGTCTCCCCTGACCTTGCCTCTGTTCTTCTTTCTGAACCACAGAAGGAGGAGGTGGGCGAGGCCCTGCACGATGTTGACTTTCAGCAGCTGAAAATCGAGAACGCTCAGTTTTTGGAGACGATTGAAGCAAGGAATCAAGAACTGATCCAGCTGAAGCTGGCCTCTGGGAATACCCTGCAGGTTCTCAACAGTTACAAAGTAAGCTCCGCCCCTGGGCCAGACACCCTGCCAGGCTTCCTGCAGCCACCTGCCCCACCTCAGGAAGGACCCTGTGAACACGAGTTTACCCAGCCTGTAGGTGTCTCCTGCTGTCTCCCCCACCCTCTCCTAAAACCCCCAGAATGTCTTCACAAACCTAATGGGACATGAGGCACACCTGGAAGCTTTCCCCTTTTGAACACACATGTCTGTGCTGTATTCCCACCCTGACTTAGTGGGAGAGGGACACAGATCTGGCTTGTTTTGAATTCCCTGGGTGATTTTTATGCACAGTGTTTGAAAGTGAACCACATTAGGGCCTCATTTAATTGAGGAATGTATTCAGCACTTCACTTAAAACCCTGCAAAGGAAAACAGTCTCAGCTATAAATCAGAACACTGCTGAATTATTTATCATCCAAGTGCAAGGCTTTGGGGAGAGAAAAGAGGCGCTATTAATAATTAAGCAGGGACTATGGACATGAATAGGGCCTGTCCTCAGCAGACCAAGCCATCTGGTCACCCTGTGAGTGATGAAGTACCACAGTGGCCAGCAAGATGAGTGAGCTTGTCACACCCCACCAGCCTGCGAACTAAGAATGGAGCACACGTGTCTAACTGAACAATGGAGAACTCTGTCAAACCAACACAGAAAAACCTACCTGCCTTCCACAAAGTCCATTCATACACACACACACACACACACACACATACACACACACACACACATACACACACACACACACGATGTGACAGATAAATATCGTCTTATTATTTATATATCTATATAGATAATATATGTAATACCATATCCTATTATTTTTAGTATGCATATGTGTGCTTGTGGGCGAGCATGCCATGGCATACATGTAGATATCAGAGTACAGCTTAAGAGTCAACTCTCTTCTACCATATGGGCTGTAGGGGTTAAACCCAGACTGTCAGGCATGGCGGCAGACAGGTCTACCTACTGAGCCACCTCACCAGCTCTGTTCAAAAGTATTACACCCGGTTATAATGTTCTTACTTTCATCAGTAAAACACTTGTAGAAACTGAGCCCCCCCCCCACCGTCCCCGCGTAACGTGTAAAATGTTGCCTCTGGTCCTACAAAGCTGAAAGCTTACTATCTGGTTCTCCAGAGTGAGTTTGCTGGCTCTTGACCTCATGCCTAGGTGACAACGCTTGGGTAGCTTTCACGTAGCCTTCGTCTGTCCCACAGAATCGTGATGAACAAAGTGACTTTGACTCTGATGCTGTGTGACAAGAATTACGCTTGCTCAACACTTTTCTTTACCAATAAGAAACAAACAACAAAAAAACCAAAAAAACAACCTAAAGCAAAATTGCTGAGATTTTTGTCCAGTCATAAATTAGAGGCAGCGGGGACTGCCTGCCCTGTATGCAAATCAGTTGACCTTCCTTTGTCCTGTGCAGCATGGAGAGCTACTGAGCAGATCAGTCATATTTCACTTATCCCATCTGAACAAGTTGCTTCAAAGTGAGACCTGTCCCGGTGACTTTCAGGTCTCCGGAGAGCTGGGTAGGACTTGGCTAGCTCTCACTGGGCCTTGACCTTATCCCATGGAGACAGTCCAGCAGCTCCAGGGCTGCCTGGACTTGTGGAATTTGGGCAGTGGAGAGCTATGGTTTCCATGGGGAAGCTGCTAGGTTGCATAAAGTCACAGTGTAGACTGCGGGAGAAAAGTGGGCAGCAGCACAGTTGGCCAGTCAGAATGCTGCCCGAGAGCGTACTTCCCGTGAAGGTGAACAAAGATGGAGCTGAAGAAGATGCTCCGTAGGAATCTGAGGGTGGGCCTGAGTAATGAACTGAGGGAAGGGCTGTCTTGCTTCTTCCTGTTGGCTTCTCTCACATCCCAGTGGTCAGCTCCTGTGAGAGGAACAGAGGCAGAACAGGAGTGACTTGGGAAGCCCGACTTCACCTAGGATTGGGTGGTTGCTCCGGTATTACCGGGAGTGGCGGTACTTCGTCTGGTAGAGGAACTTCAGCTGCCAGAGGCAAGGGCCACGTCTCACTCGTGGACAGAGTTTCGTGTGCTCTGCACAGTGTGCCCAGCAATAGAAAACAGGGCCTGCGCAGAGCCGGTGCTCGGCAAATAGCTGCTAACCACCAGCAGTCTGGTTTGTGTATTTGGTGATCATGGGAAGGAGAAAGGAGGAGCCATTTGGCAGCACACATATCCAGTACCCAAGTAAGAGACCTTGTTGAAAACATGCAGGTTAACTCCCATCTATTGGAAAAATCCAGTGCCCATGCAAGCCAGGCACAGGGCCAAATGCTCGGGGCAGAGCTCAGACCATACAGGGAGACCAGGCAGGCAGACACACTCTCCTTTCTTCTGTGACTCTCCTAGGTGAGCCTGAGTGTGAATGATTCTGTGTATTTTCCTCTGACAGCATGCCCCGAGGCCTGCCTGGCAAGTCCAGAGAGGATAAGCGTGTAATTACAGCCACCACAAATCACCCTTGTATGCCTTAAGTGACCTGGTGTCCCAGGAGGATAGCATTCTAAAAGGTTCCCAGTCCCGCTCACAGGTGCACACCCTGTGTAATAAATCCTGACGGGGAATGTGATGGCTCTGGATAGGGGGTCATTTTTGTGATGCAACTATGTGGCAAAGTTGACCTTAAGATAAGGAGGTGTCCAGAAGGCCTGATTCATCCCACGTGGCCATCAACAGATTTATTTATTTATTGCAAAACCAAGTCATAGATATGAAGTTTAAGTGAAATTTGGGGGCCAGAAGTCCTCCATCACTGCTTTAAAGATAGAGGAGGCTACAGGGAAGAGATCTTAGGTGACCTCTAGGAGTGGAACTGCTGGCAGTCAGGAAGAAACCCTTCAGTGCTATGACTTCAAGAATACATGTTCTGCCAACAACCGTTGTGCTTAAGAGAGGCCCTCAAGACCCAGACATAAGCCCTGCTCCTGGCCAGTTCCTAGATTTCAGGCTGGTGCTCTCATGGGTAGAGGATCCAGCTGCATTGTGTCCAGACTTTTGCCCTGGGTAAACGGAGACAAAGAGTGGCCATCGCTTTAAGCACAGGATCTGAGGTGCTTTTGTTACACTGGAGAGCCGGGTCTTTCCTGTAGTGACCTCAAGGGGCTAACCTTTCGTGTCTTTGCATCTCTTGGCCCAACAGAGCACAGTCCATTCTGCTCTGCCTCTCAAAACTGGACAAATGTCTTCCCCAGCTTTTCTTCCCCCCTACCTGAATAGTCAGCCCCGCCAAAACACTGCCCTCACCCCTACACCCCACGCTGACCCTCTTTGTCTGGTTTCTTGTCCTTATACAGAGCAGGAAATAGGAAATGAGGCTTAAAGAAGAGAGTGTAGTGTTTTACACAAACGCGGTACAATCCGGCAGGAGGGAGTACCTTGGTGTGCCCTGCCAAGGTGTCCCCCTGAAGAATCAGCCCTAAGACAGGCCTAGTGAAAAAGGGAGTTCATTTGGGGGAAGGGGTAGAAGCAGAGAAAGGGGGGTGGGTGGGCAGAGAAGGACAGAGAGAGGAAGAGAGAAAGAGAGGAAGAGGCCGGCCGGGGACAGGTGGGAAGAGAGAGGGAGAGAATAGAAGGAGAAAGAGGGTGCGGCGAGGGAGAGAGGAAGGGCAGGAGGTCGAGAAGGAAGGAAGGAAGGAAGGAAGGAAGGAAGGAGGGAGGGAGGGAGGGAGGGAGGGAGGGAGGGAAGGAAGGAAGGAAGGAAGGAAGGAAGGAAGGAAGGAAGGAAGGAAGGAAGGAAGGAAGAGCGGTCTTCTTATAAGATTGGCTCCTAGCTCGAACCTGGCTGGCAGAGACACAAGCTGTTGCTAGGTAACTGTTGGGCGGAGCCTAGAGGAATTGCAAACGAGGAGGCCTGAAAGGACCAGATCTGAAAGGTTCCTGCAAGCCTAAGGACCCCAGGCAAATGGCTCCAGTCAGGCTCCTCTGCATTATCTAAGTTTTGAGCTTCTGGGGCAATGCCCCTGCACCCTTCTTCCATTGTGCTTTGTGAGCTCCTCTTCCAGTTCCTTCGGGACCCTCTTCTCCCATCTCCCGACTTTCCTTGCCCTCTCTTCCTTTACAGAGTGAAGTGTGGTTTTATGTTTGAATTCTCTGTCCCCTGTCCTGTTGCAGGACACTCCACCCCGGCACACACCAGCTTCCGTGTACTGTGTGCCCATTCTTCTCACTGTGCTGTTCTGCCTCCCCACTTCCCTTGGCATTAGCTGTGAGTAAGCTTCCTGGAGGCAAGGCTTAGAATGTTTCATTAACCAGCTCCCCTGTGTGTGTGTGTGTGTGTGTGTGTGTGTGTGTGTGTGTGTCCAGTCCTCAGCCAGGCAGAGTACATTGTAGCATTTCTGGAGACTTCCATGCAGGAGAGGTGCCAGGGAGACGGTTCCAGAGGAGGACAATCTAGGCAACAGGGGCCTGGGGACACTGAAGGGCAAAGAATATAGTGGGCACCCACGAGGCAGCTCCTGCAGGGTTCTCTGACACCAGCAAGCCCAACTCCTTTAGGCTGAGATGTGTAGTGGAGCTCAGAGGCTGAGGAATCACACTCACATTCGTTCAAATCTAGTCTCCCTTACTTTTAAGTGGGAAGAGGGGTCGGATCCTTCTCCTGTGGGGGGCTCTCCCACCTCTCTCTCTCTCTGCACCTTCCTGAGGCAGTCATCACAACTGCTGAGGGACCGGTGCCTGCCAGGCACAATGTTCTGTTCTCTACCAGGATGTCTCCTCACAACTTAGCAAGGTGAACATACCAGTGTAAGAGAAGTTAGGCTACCTAAGCATTTTTCTTAAAAAGCAGTGGGACAAGATTTGAGTCCTGTTGCTGGACCACTCTGCATCTCCAGCATAGGCCAAGATCCCAAGGATCCTCTCCTTCCCTCCAGCCGGTTCCCGATACCGTTGGCAGTCCTGAGCTGGTATGAATGAATCTGTGGGAATGGATGGCCTTGCTTTTGCTCCTGTCTCTCCTCCCCACTGTTCTGAAAGCTCCTCCCTAGCAGGTGCCATGCCGGTGTGTTTCAGAACAAGCTTCATCGGGCAATGGAGGTCTACATCAATCTGGACAAGGAGATCTTGCTGAGAAACGAGCTACTTGGGAAAATTGAAAAAGAAACCATACAAGCAGAGGAGGTAAGGGGACACAGTGTGCCATTTCTGATGTGTGCCTCCTTTTTCTGTCCGCAAGGGTCATTGTCCACCAAGACTCCAGATCCTCAGTAATTAATCTAGAGAAAGAACCCAGCCCACAAAAATCAAAATAGCTTTGACACACAAAAGCAGACGCTAGATTTACATCGCAGTGGTACTACATTTGCTGCTGGGTTGTGTTCTAGAGGTTGCTCACAAAGAAAACAGAGTCCACCGGAAATGCCAGAGTGGAACGTCCAGAGTTCTGAAGGTCTGTGTGTATAACCTTTTAAAAATACTAAGAGGTATATGTTCATGTAACTCATGTGAGACAAAATGCACATATGTTTTACATAAAGGGGAGAGATGAGAGGGTGGAGAGAGAGACGGGTGGAGGGAGGGGGAGGGTGCTATGTGAAGCATAACTGTCCTTTGGATGCTCAGCGTGAGTAGACTGTAGCAGAGATTGAAGGACTGTGACCTCTGGCCAGCCAAAGCTCACTCCAAGGCCAACAGCAATCAGAGTGTGGAAGAGTGGGCGGAGCCGGAAGAGGGCATCAACTTTGCATGCCCTGAGCACATGCAGCCGAGTATCTGTGACTGCAGAGCACTAGGATGTTACGCAAAGAGGATCCTTCGGGGAGGGTAGAGGAGAAAGTCCACTGGCCTCCTGGGCAGAAGACAGTCAGCAGGATAGGACTGTTTTCACAGCTGTGCTGGTGACTGGACAAGTCCACCTATAACACTGCTTTGTCCACTTCTAAGTCACGAGTACAGTTATTAGTGTCGTGGTTTTGAGTGGATTCCAGGAGTATGTGTGGCCCAAACCTCCTCACAGGGACCACAACACCTCAGGATTACATCAGATTGAGGTGTTTATCCACCTCATGTGCTTGATGGAGAAGCAACTCCCACAGAAAGCCCAGCCTTAGGACAGAGTGACAGGCGGCAAAGCCTTGTACTTGCCCTTGCATTAGATCATCATTAAAACTTAAAATTCACTTCTTGAAGTCCTGGCTTTTGTTATTTCGTACCTTTTAGTTTTCTTGTTAGCTTCGTTTTCTTCAATGCTGGGGATTGAACCCAGGGCTTTTTACATGTTATAAAATCTTATACTTAGCCTAGACTCTTAGGTACCTTTCTATTTCTGTAATAAAACACCACGACCAAAGAAACTTATAAAAACGAATCATTTGGTTTGAGGGTTACAGTTTCAGAGAGTCGGAGTCCCTGACGATGGAGCAAAGGCACAGTGGCAGGAACTGCTAAGAGCTTGCATAGCGATCCAAAAATTGGAAGCAGAGAGTGTTAATGGCGTTTTATATGAGTGTTGCAGTTTCCTCTTAACCCAGCTAGTTCCCAAATAATTGAGGTAGGACTATTTCTAGCTATTATTAGTGCTGGTACGAACATTCTTTTTTTTTTTTTTTTTTTTAGCAGTTTTTGTTTAACGTCCTTCCTTTCCTCTTGCGTATGTACATAAAGTAGCATCGTGAGTTACACGTGGCAATTCTATGTGGAACATCTGGAGAACTGACAAACTGTCTTTGAGGTGTGGCTACACATCAGTAATATGTGAGGCTGCAATTTCTGTGTATTATTTTAAATCTTTTATCTCAGTTTTTTAATCTCTCTCTCTCTCTCTCTCTCTCTCTCTCTGTGTGTGTGTGTGTGTGTGTGTGTGTGTGTATGCATGCACGTGCCTCAGGAAGTCATAACTCAGACATAACACTGGATGCCCCTGGAGTTATGAGCTGTATAACTCCATAACAGACAGTTGTGTGCCAACTAGTGTGGGTGCTGGGATTCATATCTAGTCCCCTGCAAGAGCAGCTTGCTCTATTGACCACTGAACCATCTTTCTAGCCCCGCTTGAAAATATTTTATTAATTCTTTGGGAATCTCATACTCCTCCTAACTCCTTTTACATCTGCTGCCCACTCCCCACCTCCAAAAAACTTTCTCTGTTTTTAATATCGCTGAGTCCAATTTGTGCTGGCTGGTATACTCTCAGGTGTGGGGCCATCCACTGGAGTATGGTGACCCTAACAGGAGCCAGACCTACCCCATTTCTCACCACCCCAGAAGCCATCAGCTATCAACAGCTCCTCAGTTACAGTTGGGAGACTCACGAGCCCCTGCCGCCAGACTAGAGTAATGACTGGCCTGATTTTCTGTAGGTCATGTGCCGGCAACCATAGGCCCTGTGAGTTCATGAACTCGGAAGCCCTAGCAAGCCCTGCACTCATTGTTTTGCCTGGGTTTCATAGCCTCGGGCTCTTACGATCTTTCTGCCCACCTCCTGCATGATGGTCCCCAAGCCTTGGGAGCGGAGGTGACATAGACGCTTCTTCTGCGGATGAGCACTCCACCAGCATGTATCTTCTGTACTTTTCATCTGCGTTTCCTAAGCGGGTTCCCAGGATCCAACTTGGGTTGTCAGAGTTGCATGGAAAACCCTTTGGACCACTGAGCCATCTTACTGACTCTTAAAAACACATCACTATTTTAATGGCCATCTGGGTCGGTGTGAAGTTGTGTGTCTTGTGGTTTTTATTTGGCATTCCCTGATGGTTAATGACACAGCGCACCTTTTTCTGCCTGCGCTGCTTGTCTGTCGTTTAAGAGAAACATGCAGTCATGTCCTCTGCCTCTTTTTTTGTTTTGAGTTTTCTTTTAAAATTGAGTTGTATGAATTCTTTGCATATCCTGGATTTAGTCTCTTATTATGTATATTAGTTTTACTTATTCTGTAGTGTTTTTTCATTTTCTTTTTATTTTATGTGCATGAGTGTTTTGCCTGCACACATGTCTATGCATCATGTGCCTGTCTGGTGCCCAAAGAAACCAGAAGAGGGAACGAGGTCCCCTGGAATTGGATGTACAAATGTTTGTGAACCACCATGTAGGTGCTAGGAATTGAACCCAGGTCCTGTGGAAGAACAGCTAAGCTGTTGCTCTTGACCACTGAGATATCTCTCTAGCCTTCTTTCATCTTTTTTTTTAAAAAAAGATTTATTTGTTTTATTTATATGAGTACACTGTCATTGTCTTCAGACACACCAGAAACAGATCAGATCCCATTACAGATGATTGTGAGCCACCACATGGTTGCTGGGAATTGAACTCAGGACCTCTGGAAGAGCAGCCAGTGCTCTTAACCACTGAGCTATCTCTCCAGCCCTATTTTTCATCTTCTTAATAGGATTGTTCATATCTCAGGACTTTAAAATGTTGGTGAAGTTCAATTCATGTTTTTCTTTCACACTGTGTTGTGAGGTGCTCTAGGCTTCTCTTGGTCTTCCCTGGCACTAAATATGCTGTGTGCTCATCCCTCATTCCATCAAAAGGTCAGCACTCTCTCAAGGAGTCCTGATCCATTTTAATTGACAATAGCATTAGAAACAAGCACCCAGTGCTTTACCTATTGTGCAAATACGAGGACTTGCGTTTGGATCACTAGCACCCTTATAGCCTGGCACAGACATCTGTAACCTCAGTGATGGTGGGGACAGAGATGTGTGTGTGTGTGTGGGGGGGAACAAGATCATCCCTGGAGGTCATGGGCTGGCCAACCTAACTAAACCAGTGAAGCTCCAGGTTCATAGACAGATCCTGCATCAAAAAGTATGATGGGAAGTAATCAAGGAAGACATCCAATATTGATCTCTGCCTTCATAATCTGCCTGCATGACTATGTGGACACATCCATGCAAACACACACACACACACACACACACACACACACACACACACACACAGGGGAGAGAGAGAGAGAGCACTCAGTGTCTTGACAGTCTTTCTCCTTTAGCATATGCTAGATCCCATTGTCTTGTGGCTTCTGTTGTTTCCGATGAGCAGTCAGCTGTTGCTCTCACCAAGCTTGTGTACAAGACTGATTGTCCTGTTTTTCTTGTCATCTCAAGCTCTTCCTTTTGCCTTATCACTCAATGGTATGAGTGTGGTATATTTGGGTTGGGTTTCTTTGCATTTATCCTCTTTGGAGCTTGTCTAAATTATCTGGGTGTTGAGCTTAATGTTTTTAAAACAAAAATTGGGAAGTTCTTGTTCATGGAAGCCTTGAGTAGGTTTTCTGTTTCTCCTCTTTTTTCTCCTTCTTTTACTACCACTACATGTACCATACTCAGGCTGCCTACATCTCTCTGAAATGGCTAGTTCTCTGTGTTTTCACTACCTCTCTTCATACTGCATAAACTCTACCCATGTATCTTCAAGTTCAGAGCTGGATTCTTCTAATAGCTTAAATCTGCCAGTGGTTCCCTACAATATGCACTCAATGCCATTGAACTATGTGCTTAAAAATGCTTAAGATAGCACATTTTGTTACATATATTTTACAATACAAGAAGACAGGAAAGTAAATCGAGATGATAGAGCCAAAGCACAGATAAATGTACAATCTCACACACAAAACAGCCTGAGAAGTCAAAACAAGAGAAAGCACAGTAAAGAAAGGAAATAGGAAAGGAAAAGAAAGGGACGAGGATCCTAGCCACTCTCGGGTTTCTGAGCCGGACGAAAACATCACCATCTGCTAGAAAAAACCAGAATCCTCAGAAGGCCCCACCCTTTGCGGCTGTCACCTTTCATTTTGGAACTGTACTGAGACATGGGGATGGGGTAGGAGCTCCCAGAATTTCATGGGCTAATGGGTGCTTATGGGCTAATGGGTGCTTATGGGCTAATGGGTGCTTATGGGCTAATGGGTGCTTCCCAACAGGACAGGGCCAAAGCCCATATCTTGAACAATAAGTTACGGAAGCAGCTGGCTGAGTTCCGGGCTCCACAGGTGATGATGTACGTCAAGGAGAAGATTCTGAATGGGGAACTGGAGAAGACCATCAAGATGTGGGAGCGGAAGGTGGAGATCGCGGAGGTGAGCCTGCTGTCCCCAGGTGGGATGAGTCCGACTTAGCCCTGGTTATGGGATCACCGAGTATCTCAAGCCGTCAACACTTTTCTTCAGAGTCTTGATCGTCAGGCTTGAACTTACAGGGATGTTGGTCATGTTGTATCCGTGCGAAATCTCTGCAATTTCAGCTGCTCAGCCAAAAAGAACAGTGGATTTTCATTCTAACTTTCTATTCCACTTCTAATGATTAAGGCCGATGTACTTTAGGATCAGGAAGAGACTCTTATGACACAAGTGTGTTTAGTTGCTTGTCTCCATAATGAATTTTAGAGTCTTCTAAATCCCTCCGTATCACGGGATTTATTAAGTACTGCATCTTCCATGGAGAAGACAGTTTTTAAGAAAAGGAGAAGCTGCAGGGGGGGAATGGGTCACACCTTCAGTCCCTAGCACTGAGAGGCAGAGGCAGGTAGATCTGTGTTTGAGGCCAGCCTTGTCTCTTTACAGAGTTCTCGGCTGCTCAAGACTATACAGTGGGACCCAGTCTCAAGAAAGAAAGAAGGGGGCTGAGGGTGGGAAGGAGGGAGGGAGGGAGAAGAAAAGGAAAAAAAAGTTGTTTTTAATGGTTCTTAGAACCCAACATCGTGCATTTACATTGTTACTGGAGGCCCCTTGTTTACAACTAAGCCTGCATGCAGCCTTTTAGATGGGCAGTATGCACTTTGACTCCATATGGCCTGCCCATTAGGGTGTCATTAGTATAGCCTAAAAATCACTTGAGCTGCTGGGGAAACTGGCATCTTGACCCTAACTTCATTTTCCTCATATGGTAGCTTGGTGACAGAGAAGACATTAGAGACCTAACTTGGGGGTACATCATACCTGGGAACTGAGCAGAGAACCCAATGGGGCATGCACTGTCTCACTTCCCTGGACAAAAACACACTCTTTAAAACAGTCTTTGACGTTTTGGATGTTGCTGTCTTGTTTTGCTTTGCTTTTCCTTTTCTGAGACAGGGACCCGCGCATCCCAGTTGATCCTTCAGCGTAATTCAGCTTAGTAGGTAGCTGAGGATAGCCCTGACCTTCGGATCCCCGTCTCCCCACCTCCTACATGAATCACCACTCCAACGTTGATAGGGTGCTGTGGGCCAGGCCCCGAGCTTTGAGAGTGCTGGGCACACACTCAACCAACTGAGCTACATCTCAGCTCTAGAAAGATCCTTTGGGTATCCATTGCCCTAAGGTGATGTCTACCAGCGGGGTGCACCACAAGAGCCCAGCCTCCAACAGGGCCGCCTGCATAGCCAGCAGCTTAAAGATGGCGGTGGCTTTCAGCTCAGGCACATGCTAGCTTTCCCAAGTAACCCTTCTCCGCCTTTCCGCCTTTTTTGTTTTGTAGATGTCCTTAAAAGGGTACCGAAAGGCCTGGAATAAAATGAAGACTTCAGATGAGCAGCTGCAGATGATCCGGCCCCCCGGGAAATAGCTAAGAGCAGCCGGCAGTTTGTAAACCAAGAAGTGACCCATTAAATAAAGTTCTCTATTTTTTCCATTAATGGGGTTCTCTCACTTGTTGCCTATGCCCAGCTAGCATGCCACCTCCCCCCCAGCTACCAGGGCACATCTAGATGGTCACCTGCAGGACCACATCTCCCCATGGGAATATCTTTGAAGCCTGGCCCCTGGAACCATTAACACTGAAAGAACCACAAGGTCACTCTAATCGTTTGACACTTGTTAGCCCACATTTAGTTCACAAGCATAAATGAAAGTGACCTTCCCACATAGGGGAGTGGGACAGAGGAAGGAGAGCCAAGCCCGGTGCTGCCGTGGGCCTGCTCGTGGCCACCCAGGGGGCACCTATCAAGAGCAGACACCAGAACAGTACGGCAGATACCTAGCACCTTGCCCTCTGAGCTTCTTCTCTGTGGTAGTAGGTTAGCTCCTAGCTAGACACCGCTGCCCAAGAAAACAAGCACGAAGGACATCAAGATCCTTTCTTGGGACCAATGCAGCCTGTTCTGGCCAGCCACAGCCACGCCTTCCCCCGCCTCCCCACCGTAGTAGTCATAGTACACGGGTTGAATAGCCGCCTTGGAAGGCCCGCCTGCTTCCGGTTGCCCGTTTACCCTGAAGTTCTGCCCAGCATCCTTCTGCTTGTTGTATGTAGTGGATATTCTTTGTCCTGGGGAGTAGGAGTGGGGCCATTCAGTATAGCTATGTACAGAATACGAATTCTTTGTCAGGGCAATATTTGATTCGTGAAAGGGGAGCTCAGGGACCAACTTCTCCCAGAGGTGGAGCGAGGACAGGGAAGGGCCAGCCTTCCTCGTCTTGGCCATGATCCAGTCGCTGTAGTCTTCCACACTGGTGTACAGAAACAGGCCAGGGCACGAGTCGCCTCCATAGGCCAGGAGTCCTCTCAGGATCCAGAGACCAAGATTCTTTACTTGGCACATCATAGGGCTTCCTGGTTCCCCCTGCAATAAAGGACAGAAGAGGGCTTCAGGTCTCAGAAAAACTTCCTTCTCAGTAGACCCTTGTACCAGTGTCTGTTTTAGAAAGTTTTGCATTGATTCTCTCTGGAAATGGGGCAAATTATAGGCTACCACTTAAAATCTAGACAGCCACCACCAATTACAACATAGAGACACACACATTCCCCCTACCCCCGCCTCCTTTTCCCTCCATCTTTCTCCCTCTTTCCCTCTTTCTTGCCTGCTTCTTTGAGTCTGGATCACATATAACCTACTCACTATGCAGCTAAAGATGACTTTGAACTCTTGATCCCTGTGACTCTGCCTCGACTCCTCCTCACGCTGGAGTGCCAGCCACCACAACTAGTCTTTCATGCAGGGCTGGGGATCAAATCCCTGACACTGGGGCTCTATGTAAGATAAGCACTCTCCAGCAGGGCTACTTCCTTGGCCCAGTTTTTCTTTGTATTATGCAAACTATTTGTGGCCCTGGTACCCAGATTGCCTATAGCTTCCTGGCTCAATTTAAACTGTCTTTTTCTAGTACCATGAGTCTTCTTCTCTTTTGGCAGCTCATCCCTCAAACACCAGCATTTCTTTCCATTCTGGGTTAGAATGATCATATCTCTGAACTCTTCTTCTCTTGTTCATTTTTTGCTAAGGAGGAGCTAGATAGAGGGGCAGGAGGGCCAGAGTCCCTCAGGAAGCAGAGCTGTGCTGGATCCACAGCTCCCTGCCCCCTGCCACAGCTGCAGTTACTCTTTCTGCTCACCGGCCGTGCCAGACTGCAGCCTTCCCCTTTCCTGAAGGAGCAGTCCTCTGGGGCTCAGGAGTTCTATCCCACACACCTTATCTCATGCAAGGCAAGAAGGCAGATGCTAAGCATACTTACCAGTCAGTCCCTTTGACTTGAAAAGCCAGGCAATCTGGCCAGTGGTATGTTGCTCTTGCTGTTTGGACTTAGGCAAACAGCTTGGTTCTAATGCAATACGTAGATGAGCTAATTCCTGTGACATGTTCAGCACTGGTGCTGGGCGTGCAGTATGCACGCAGTAAAGTATGAGCTACGATCGTTAGCTATGTGTGGGTTATAGGGGGTATGATTTTTCTGTAAGAAGTTGTAGAAATTGGGGAAAACTACCAGGTTTCATTTATCCCACCTGTCCCCTCTGTGGTCCCTTCTTCTTTCACCCCATGGTCCATCTTGGGTCCAACACAGAGGAAGGACTATTCACCCTCCTTAATTTATGGCCCCCTTGACTGGAAGAGCCAGACAGGCTAGCCAATGATATGTTGCTCTTGCTGTTTGGACTGAGGCAACCAGTGAGCAGGGTGGCAATGGATAACAGCGAACAGTTTGGAAAAACTCAAGGAGGAGACACAAAGAGGCAAAGGGTAACTTCTCAGCTTCTTCTGCTCTGTGGCCTGGGTAATAGCCCTACCTGGGGTGTCCTTTCCTACTATACTCCCCCTTGCTTAGGAAGTATGGGCAGAGCAGAGGTGAGAGTTCATGGTAGAAGGAGTGACTGGGAACAGGGCAGACATGGCACATACATTCTGCAAAGACACCGTCATGCCTGGGTAGCCTTTTAGAAGGCCAGAGACAGTTTAAGGCCAACAGAGTCTGCATATTATTCCACATTGCTAGCTACAGGGACAGCACAGCACTCCTGTACTTCCCTTTCTTTCATAGACTGCTGTGTCACCCCCACACTATCAAAAGGCAGATGGTTGAAAGGTTATTTCGGTGTTCTGGCTGGCCACCTGGGACTGCTGAATGACCACTGTCTATATAACACACTAAGGCTCCTTGGGGCATGGAGCTCCCTGCTGATGAGTAGTATGGTCTCCATCCTCTCACTGGTCCCACCCCCAGTTGATCATAACTGTTCTTCAGGAAGAAAATGCATGGAAGTTAGGACACACAGCATGATGTTTCTGATGCACAGTAGTGGGTACAGGTGGCCCTGGCTAGCACATGGCTTTGCTGCTAACCCCAGGCTCAGAATGAATGAGTCTTTTATTGTCCCCCCACTCCATCCATTCTTCCTCACCTAGTAGAGCCATGATTTCTGGTTTCTGAAGTAAAAGCAGCAGAGGCCACTGGCCCAGGGCCCCTGAAGCAGCTCTGTCTTACCTCCTGTCTTAGCCCCTGAGGGGCAGCTACTGAAGAGAGAGGCCTCTCTCTGAATGGTCTTCTCCCTTGACATCCCACAAAACCTCTAAGAGTTGTAAAACCCATAAAAGTAAAGAGTAAAGGTCCACAGCAACTCTTCTGGGTCCACAGGGAAAATCATTAGTCAGATTCTAGAGCTGAAAGTTTCTTCTATACCTCACAAGTGTGGTGCTCAGAATCCAGACACCAGGTCACATTTCTGTTCTCCCACAACAGAAGACATTCAAAACAATGACATCACCATTAGATGTTTTGTGAGCAGAATTCAGTTCAAAAGCTAAAGGTTAGTGGCTGAGGATGGCTCAACAGATAAAGTGTGTGCTGAGCAAGCTTAGATGCTGAGATGCTGTAAATGACTGGTGAGCTCTGGAGGCTGGGTGGGACACAGGGGGCAAGTAGGCTAGCTAGACTAGCCGTATCAAATGATCACACTGTAGGTTCAATCAAGAGACACTGCCTCAAAGAAGTAAGGGATTCATCTAGGAAGACAATGGTTTTAGATAGACACACATGAAGCCACATACATTCGTACTCTGCATGCACACCATGTATACATATGAAAGATTTCACAAGGGTGCCACTGTTATAAAACAACAACTCTGCAGGGTAATCACTTAACACATTAACAATACACCATATCCAGAGTCTAGATACACTTCAACACCTAGCATCTTGGAGAAGATGATGTATTTTGGATCTGTTGATGGCAACGTCTGTCACCCTTCTATCTTAGCATTATGTAAAATTATGCCAGCATTTACAGCTAATGGCATCTTAGGTTCAATGAAATGTGGTACTGGACTGGTGGGATGAATTCTACCAGGATTTTATTAAATAGCTATGACTTCTACTGTTTTTAGAACATCTAATTTGAGAAGTTGCTGAAGCTGAACAGTGGTAACATACACTTTTAATCCTAGCATGTGGGATCTCTGTGGGTTCGAGGCCAGCCTGGTCTACAGAATGAGTTCCAGGACAGTCAGGGCTACACAGAGACTCTGTCTCAGCAAAACAAAACAAACGAAAACAAAAGAAGAGGAGAAGGAGGAGAAAGAGGAGGAGGAGGAGGAGGAGGAGGAGGAAGAGGAGGAAGAGGAGGAAGAGGAGGAGGAAGAAGGAATGAAAAAGAAGAGGAGGAGGAGGAAGAGGAAGAAGAGAAGGAGAAGTAGGTGAGCAGCAGCAACAGCAGCAGCAGCAGCAGCAGCAGCTGAGGTCTTCCCCTGGCAGGGAGCCAAGCACAGAACAGTTGAACAATGTTGAATCACTTTAGGGAGAGTAAACTTGCTGCTTAATGAGAATCACCAAGCCTTTGGGATCCAAAGACTTTTAGAAAGGTGTCTGTGTGTTCTTTACTCTAAAAAAAAAAAAAATACCCTTGCCTTCCTCTTGGAAGAAAAGCATTTTGACCAGAGGAGTCTCGAAGGTTATTTGTAGATTTGTAGATGGGACAGGTGATGGACATCTTACCAAGGCAGATTTAAGTTGAAAATGTAGCTCAGTAGTAGAGCACTTGCCTAGCATGTTCTTGGTCCTAGATTTGATCCCAAAGAGTATATTATGTCTCTCTCTGTCTCTGTCTCTCTGTCTCTGTCTCTCTGTCTGTCTGTCTGTCTGTCTGTCTCTCTCTCTCTCTCTCTCTCTCTCTCTCTCTCACACACACACACACACACACACACACACACACACAAACACACACAGAGAGAGACAGAGACAGAGAACTTTGCCTGCTAGCCTGAAGTTTGTTCTCCTTACTCTAACATTTATTGACTAGTCTTAGTAAGACACGTTAGTCTGGGTTTAGACATTAGGCCACCTGAACCAGATGGCGGTGAATTCTGCACATTTTGCTCAAATCATTTGCTCAAATCATAGGACAGTCATCCTCTGCAGGACTCGTATGT